GACTATTATCAAAGTCCTCTTGTGAATCCCTGGTTATATGTGGGCTGCTACACAAATAAATGAAAGTTCCTGGTCTACAGGCATGTGCTTGCATAGACCGGACAAATGATTCAGGGTTATTTCTAGGCCTACCATTCCATAAAACCTGAGTGCCAACCTTCAGCTTCAAGTTCCTGGTCTACAGGCACGTGCGTGCATAGACCGGACAAATGATTTAGGGTTACTTCTAGGCCTACCATTCCATAAAACCTGAGTGCCAACCTTCAGCTTCTGTTTGATCAGAGCTGCATTAGTCCTGGCATTTAGAAAACAAAGGTTGAATATTTATGTCGGTTATGTGGAATGAAGAGAGAAGCACTCTGATAGGCTGTTAGGATAGCGAAAAGATCCTTGAAATTCTTCCGCACTATTTTTAGAGGCCTAATTCTCTAGTTCTTTTCCAACCGGAATCACCCTTCGATGTTTACCTAGGGATGAGTTTTTCCAAAGCTAAGAACCATTGAATGGAACCTGATTATAACAAATTGTTCTCTCTGTTTTAAAATAAAATATCTTTTGAAAGCATGCTAACTATATCTTCATATGAAACTTGCAGATACATGTAAAAATTGCTTCGTTTCTCAAAAAGGCTGGAACTGGCTGGACGCTGTGCCCTAATTATAAAACATAAACCTCCTCTGTTTTGAAATGTGGCCCGCCCAGAGAACAATCACTTCTCTGAATGTTTTGTTGTTGTTGTTGTTTCTAAAAAATAATTATTTTATTTTATTTATTATTATTTGTTTTTTAATTTGCTATAGAACACATGTGATCACCAGAGAGAGATGCAGAAAGAGAAAGAGAGAGAGGAGAAAGAGAGAGAGGGAAAGTGAGAAAGCAAGCCACCAGGTCTGGGACTTGAACCACAGTGAGCCATGTGGGAGTCCCGTGCCTTAACTACTATGCCACCTTGTCGTCCCCTCTCTGATTAATTTTTAAGAGCCCACATGAATAGTTCATTCCAACGTAATAGTCAAAACTGCAAACTTTGCTCCAAAGGAATAAGCTCCTCTCTCCCTCCATGCAGGGCTCCTTCCAGTCACAAGCCTCTGCAGGAGAAAAGGAGGCCGGCTGAACCTCCCCTTCATTCTCTGGGTTTCCTGACAGCACTCCGTACCCATTAGGCAGATGCCCCCTGCTCCTTCTCTGGGGTAGTGATGGGACAAGTTTGGCAACAGGAGAGGTGCTGGTGGAGCTGCTGTGACGAAGCGCACGGACCTGGTGCACATTCAAGGCTGGCGTGTCCCTGTTGGGTGCTCCTGAGGGTTTTATGGAATTTCCCAACTCGATCCTCCGCCCCTGCACAGTCAGTTTGGAGCCGTGCCTCCTTCCACTTGGAACCCGTAATTCTGCTCCAACATCTGGTCACTTGCAAGCAGTGGGGGGTCCCACTGGCCCTTGAGCCCGTCTGTCCACGCGAAGCCCAGAGTGACCACGTCCAGCACGGCCTCCTTCTATCCGTCGCACCAAGGCAGACTTCGGGACACAGCACCCACAGCCCTGTGTGATTCCACACAAGCCACGGAGATAAGGCTTGGCCCGAAACAGGGCGGGGATGACAGCCTTGGGGGGAGTTCCCACAAGCAGGTTCCTTCCTGCCTTTCCATCTGGTGGGCCAGTCACAGGGCTGTTAGCACGGATCTCACCACTTTCACCTGACAGCAGGGCTCTCCACCTGCCTCTCCCCTGCGCCCCCAAGTGCAGGCGGTCGGTTTCTGTGTAAGTCTAAAAAACTACTGAGCTGCAGTTCAGAGTTGTTCCCATTGCTACACTTACCCCTCGTACTGGGTGTCGGCAATCCCTCACCCTGGTCCCCGGGGAGTAGGGAGGCAGAGGACTGACACCATGACAGTCTTGCTTCGCTATGTGGTGAGAAGCTACCGGGAACCACGTGGACTCACTGTCGCCTCACCGCTGTGTCTCTGGAAGTGGGGCTCATCACCCGGGGAGTTCCACGGTGGCCCCTGTGGCTCCCTTGCCCACTGTGCCGCCTGTAGAGACTGCTTCCTTGCCTCACAGCAGCCATCCAGCACGCCTCTCTTCATGCGTGTCCGGTCACTGTGCCCGACACACTTCAGAAACGTGTCAGACTCGTTCATGGTTTCCCTGAGGCTCTTCTTCCTTGAAGTAGTGGACACTAGATTTCCACCACAGTCCACCGTAATTGTCTCCAAAACACACCACTTTCAGGCAGCAGGTGGTGTGGCACGGGATTCCCACATGGTCAGTTAGGGTTCAAATCCTGGACCCGACAGCTTGAAAATCACACTGGGTGCGTGTGCGTGCGTGCCAAAAATCCCAAGAGGAGAGTGGAGGAGAAGGGATTGTGGCATGGCCATCCCCCTGGGGGGTGATTTCTCACTTTCCTTCTCTTTCTCTCGGTCTCTCCCAGTGAGCACTAACTGCCTATAGCAAAAACCTAAAAAAAAACAGAGACAAAAACGCTACCCTCCCAGTATCTTCAACCCAAATCTGCACGTATCTTTAAATGAATGTTTGCCTAACTCTGTCAGACTGGTCGACCGTCTCCTTACGCGGCTTAGCAGCCATTTTAGGAACACGAGGCTACCTTGACACCTTTAACTGACCATGTTGCTCCCAGCTTTCGAGATCTCAGTTTAAATGAAGACGGAGTTCTGGGCAAACCCTTTGTCTAGTTTATCATTAATCTACATAGCGTAGTAAAAGTCCTCTGGTCATAGAACACTCTCTGAAAACAACAAAAAGTTCAGCTCAAAACCATGCTTGCTCGCTCTGTTCTGTTCACTACTGATACTTTATCACCTTTCCAGAGAGCAGCCCTGGGTGACGTCCTAAGTGGCCGCCACTTCGTCTGACTCTGCTGCCAGCCGTAAACAGGTTCTAGTCCAGGAGCCGAAGTTTGTTCTAGGCCACCAGGCAGGCAGATTTAATTTAGGGGTGTTAGTGTGTGATGGTCTTTTCTCAGTTGCCGTGAAGGTAAGAGTTAACTCCCCAGCACGTTAATCAGTCACAAAGTCGAATGTATAACCCTGTTGCCTGCCTTGATTAAATAACCGCGCAGCCTGGAAATTGCACTGAGCTTTTCGAAAGCCTGAAGCCCTGGGAGCTTTCCTACGCTTTGTTTGTCTCCAGCTAAATGCAGGTGCAGCAGAACCACCGAAGCATGGTTGGCCCTGGGAAACATTCACACAACAGCTGCTCTGGTGTTAAACCTCTCGTGCCCTCTTTCCCCCTGACTTCTCTCCCCTGGGAGAACCAAACTGCTTGTGTGTTTTCACCAAGACCTACCCTCAGAGGCCTGGGCCCTGGCTCTGAACCATGCTCTTCTCTTCTGACCATGACTCACTGTTCTGCCTCTCACGTAACTCTGGTAAGATCTTGCTCTGAGCCGACGACCGTTGCTTCTCCTCTCCAACTGAGAAATGCTTGCTTCTCCATATATATGATTTGGTTTTGCGATGAGAATACAGGGAAACAGGAGAAGTGGGAATGAGTCCTAACCAAGTCATAGCACGGTCCTGCTATCTGCCAGCATGTTCAAAGGAATGAGACCCTACTCGTAAAATTTCAGACATTGCAGCAGAGTGGAAGAAGGGACCTCTGAGGCTCTGAACTATTGTAACAACCCAAAAAGTGTGTTTGTACCCAATGTCTTCTCCACCTAAAAGTCTGACTTTGCTCAAAAGTTCTCTCAGAGACTTTTTTCTTTAAATAAACCTTTTAACTGATTTGACAAAACATGCATTTGTTTATAACATTCCTCATATACAGTCTAGGTAGCGATTGCTGAGCCTCTATAAAGAGCCAGGTTCTCTAGTAGGCATTTAACAAGCATTAGCGGGACCAGCAGTTAGCGTAATGGCTATGTCACTGGACTCCCATGTAGTCAACTGTGGTTCGTGTCCCGGACCCGGTGGCTTAAAAAACTCACACTGGGCATGTGTGCGTGTGTGCCCAAGATCCCGAGAGGAGAATGGAGGAGAAGGGATTGTGGCATGGCCATCCTCCCTGGGGAGTGATTTCTCGCTTTCTGTCTCTGCCTCTCTCTGTCTGTCTGGCGAGCGCACTCGCCCTATAGGAAAAACCTCTCCCCACCCCACGCCCCCCCCCCCAAAAAAAAAGCATTAGCCACGGCAGGCCAATTGACAGCCTCTGCTTGTATTTTCTCCTTCTTCAGAAATAATGAAGTTTTCGCCACGTACATGATTTTACACCTAGAGACAATGTCTTAGCACCTACAGGTAAGTGGCCATGTGACTAAGCTCTGGGCGAGAAAACGTGAGCAGAGCGATGCGTGAACTCCTGAACTCCTGAAATAAGTAGATTTCTTGCCCTAGATTGTCTCTCCCTTTCTCTCCTTCTCTTTTTCTGCCGGCTGGGGTACAGATGTGTATACAAACCAGCTCGGTCATGCATATAGAATAAGAGCCTGGGGAACAGAAAAGCAAAACAACTAAAAACACCTGGGCCCCCGACTCTGTATGTGGAGCGGAAACCCCTGGCTTTTCTGGAGCAGTGAGGCTTTTAGCAGACGTAACCTCTCACGCCTGAACCACTTTGTCTGGGGTCTCAGTCATGTAGGAATCTGTCCTATAGCCTTATATCCTATCTAGACTTAATCCTCCGTCCAGGTACTGTGACATATGTGTTATTATTTCTACTTTATGAAAAGGAAAGCAAAGCTAAAAGAGAGTAAATGAAAGTATATTTAAGTGTAAGTAAACGGTAACGGGGCCAGCAGGTGGCGTGGTTGTTAAAGTGATGGACTGACAACTGCCAGAGTTCGAGCCCCAGACCCGAAGGCTTGAGACACACACCGGGACACATGTGCATAACATGTGCCCAGAATCCTGAGAGGAGAGTGGAGGAGAAGGGATCGTGGCGTGGCCACCACACCTGGGGGACGATTTCTCACTTTCTCTCTTTCTCTGTCTCTGTTTCTCGCACATGCCCTATAGCAAAAATCTCTAACAAGGGTAACAGAGCAGAGCAGGAACTGAACTAGGATTCAGGTTTGTATTTGGCTTCTCAATCAGATCATTTCCCACTTTGCTGTACTGTTTATGTACTGTTTATGTATTTCTATAATTTTTTCTACTATGTTAGGAGTGAACGTATTTTTCTTCAAAGAAGTCATGGTAATTTTTAAGGTAGCCTAGATTTTTTTTTACCAATAAGTGTGTGCAATAAATATCAATATAAGGAAAGAATTTATATTCAAATATATATCAGCATTTTATGCAACACATGTAATGCTCCATTTTAGAATGGTTTTGCTGAGAACCAAAGACTCTCACACGTTTTAGTCCCAGGACCCTTTAAATGAAAAACTTTGTGTCAGCAGATGATGTGGTAGTTAAGGCACTAGACTCTCACATGACCAACTGTGGTTCAAGTCCCAGACCCAGTGGCTTAAAAATCATGCTGGGCATGTGTGCATGCATGCCCAAAATCCCAGGAGGAGAATGGAGGAGGAGAGACTGTAGTCTGGCCATTCCCCCGGGGGGTGATTTCTCACACTCTATCTCCAGTGAGCACACGTGCCAGCCCTATGACAAAAACCTAAAATGAAAAAAGAGAATAAACTTATTGAGAACCCCAGAATCTTGTATGTGTATTAGATCTGCTATTAATTACTGTGTTTGAAAATAAAACTAAGACATTTTAAAAATAAGTAGTAGTAATTATTGTTAAAAAATAATAAACTCATTGCCTGTTATCATAAATAACATAGTTGAATGAAAAAATTAGTTACATTTTCCAAAATAAAATTAAAACTAGTGATAGCAAGGTTTGACATCGTGCAAACGTCTTTGATGTGTGCTCACCGGAGACAGCTGCCCCGCCATACCGGCGTCTGCATCCACTGTAACAGCGTGCCGCTCTGGCTAAGATGTATCGCGCAGGCCAAATGGCCATCCCACTGAAGAAGATGTAGGAAGAGACTTCCAAAAGTGTGCAAATATGAGATTAAAGTACAAATTTATTTTGGACCAAAAATTTTTGAAATCTATGCATAATGTCTCCATAATACACAATACTACATATACATGGTACATACACATAACACATGATACTACAGAGTACACAATTCTGATCGGCCACTATAGGTCTACTAGAATGGTCAACATCCAGAACACTGAGGAACACTGAATGCTGGTGAGCTTGTGAAATATAATGCTCATTTATTGCTGATGGGACTGCGTAGGGCACAACCTCTTTGGAAGACAGCCTGGCAGTTTCTTACAAAACAAAATATTTACTATGCAAACCAGTGGTCGTACTCCTCAGTATCTACCTAGAAGCTGAAAACGTATGTCCATATAAAAACCCGCACATGGGTGCTTATAGCAGCTTTATGCTTATACCAAAACTGGGAAGCAACTGAGGTGTCCTTCAGAAAGTGAATGTAGTGCACCCCAAGGGTTATTACCCAGCACTAAAAAGAAATGAGCTATCAAGCCACGGAAAGACACGGAGGAAACTTAAATGCAGACTGCTAATGAGAGTGGCTCATCTGAAAAGACTGCGTACTGTATGATTCCAGCTTCGTGGCGCTTGGAACAGACAAAGCTCTGGAGTCTCCCAAAGATCACTGGTTGCCAGGGGTTGGGGGTGGAGTGAAGGGATAAAGAGTCAGGTCACAGAGAGTTTTTGTGTCATTATTTATCTGTCCAAACTTATATGATATCCAGCACCAGGAGTGAACCTTAATGGGAACTGTGGGCTTTGGGCAATAATGATGAGTCAATGTACGTCCACCAGTTACAGCAAAGGTCCCATCCTCGTGGGGAATACTGATAATTGGGGAGACAACATGTGGGGGGTTATGGGAAATCTCTGTACTTTCCTTTCAATTTTGCCAAAATTACTCTTTAAACAAATCTGGTGACCAGCAGTTGGCATAATGGTTATGTCACTGGACTCACATATAGTGGTTTGAGTGCTGGACCCGGTAGCTTAAATTCACGCGCATGTGCATGCATGCCCGAGATCTGGAGAGGAGAATGGAGGAGAAGGGATTGCAGCGTGGCCATCCCCCCGGGGGGTGATTTCTCGCTTTCTGTCTCTCTGTCTCTCTCTGTCTTTCTGGCAAGCACACATGCCCTACAGAAAAAAACCTCTCCAAAAAAATAATAAAAAGAAAATAAATAAATAAAAAAGTCTGTAAAATAAATAGAAAAACAAACACTTAGTTTTTTTGGCTGAACCTGAGAATTAAATTGACATAAGACAGAGTAACAGGAGAAAAGCCTATACATTTATTTAATAAAAGTTTTATGTGACATGGGAGCTCTCATAAGGAGAAGAAGACCCAAAGAAGTGGCAAAATCTAAATGCTTTTATATTAGGTTGAACAAAGAGAGAGTGTGGAAAAGTAACGAATCTATGAAGGGATGCTAAAGGGAGATAAGAATATTTCAACAAGGTCTGTTTGTGCAGAATTCTCTTGGCTTTAACATCTAAATTTTGATGATAAACAAAACATCCCATTTTTGATGATAAAAATGTTATTTTCCTTCTAGTATAAAAAGAACATCTCCTATATGAGTGTTTTATCTTCTGTCCCAAGAAGAAAAATGGGAGATTCAGAGGGCCCCTTCTTGCACTTGCTGTTTTGCTTTGTTTTGATTTGATTTTTTCAAAGTGGCTTTTGCTCTGAATAATCCTACGCAATATGTGGTTGAAAAGACAGAAATATTTAATAGCCCTTTCAAAGAGTTATGGATATTCTGTTTTGATTCCACCCCAAAATTCAGCAAGGGAGAGCTAAAGGTGAGTTGCAGCGTAGGCTCTGAAACTACATCAGTGAATTCTTGGTATTCTGCTACACTCAAATCCCCTGGTCTGTCTGGCACTTTGATGGGATCTTTAACGTATGCATAATTTTGTAACATTATGCATTGATCATTTAAAAAATATTGGTTCACTGACTTATATAGAGCCTCCCAATGCTATGCATTTTATTATCCAATATAAAAAATTCACATATTGAATATCACCACCAATCTCATCAGAAAAATCTCCAAGTGTTAGGATGCTGTCAAGTTCATGATTTAGAAGCACATTTTCCAAAATACTTTCTCTTGAAAGTTTGGATTTTATTACTGGTAACATATAGTGTCAATTATTTCCCTTCAAGCAATAGGCTCATTTTGTACCTTTTGGAGGCCATGTCTGCCAAACACCCAAGACTGAATACTGATAGTCTGTCTGTCGACTGTTCTTTAAGTGAAAATGGTGTTCTGTGAAAGACACTGGCTAGCTGAGCTCACGACTCCATCACAGAGAACTCTTCCTCGCTCAGCATGCTTGAGAGCACCAGAGCGCTTTCCGTACTTACGCTCCTCTTGTCCCATGGAATATTCAAATGATGCTTACTCGAGAAGTGAGGTTTAATATAGTATTTACTACTTCACTGAGGACATTATTAAGTGAAACCATTTTTTCAGTTTTTATTGTATCTTCACACTGCAGTTACATGATGGGGAAGGACACACTGAGGCGGGCACAGCACCTGGTGCCATCGCTTTGACTCTGTTAGTTGCCAACAGTAGAAATTTCATCATGGTGACCAAGGAAAGCAATGGCTTCATGTCATTTCAAAAATAATTTGACCCTTCAAAGACCTCTGAAAGTCTTTCGGGGATCCCTAAGGATCTGTGGGCTACCCTTGGAGAATCTAAAGTGCAACAACCAAAAGATACATAAAAATGGCAAAAATTCTTAGTGTTTCTTAAACACCATGAAATAAACATATGATTCGCAACAATGCCTCCACAGGTCATTTTCTCTTTCCTAAAGCTTTCCTGGTATCACCACACTGTACCTCTCCCTCCGCACCCCCTAAAAGCTGCCTCCTTAGTTGCTGCCCAAGATCCTTTAATCTTCTTTACATACCTCACACATACTTAGTCTCATCTTAAAGGCACAAAATACCCGGTTCAGAGATGGGAGGAAGAAAAGGCAGATCCTGAAAACTAGAACCCCCTACGTAATTGGAAAGACAATAGGAAAACATTGAATACTCATAAATGATTTTTATTGCCTCATTTTAAATACTTTTGGAGTTGATTGTTATATACTGTGCCAGATATCTAGTGTCCATAAATCAATACGATCTCTACCCTTCCAAACGTCCCTGGCTGTAGGTCTGCAGGCCTAGAAATGCATGGATTACACTTCTTCACCACCTCAGCCAGACTCTGCCACTACCAGGCATCTCGCACAGTATTTTGAA